TTTTTTGCGGAACCAGGGATCGAACTCAGGCCCTTGTGCTTGCCAGGGAAGCACTTATTCCACTGAACCATCTCTCCGGCCCCAATACTGTTTCTCTTAATGCTTCTCAAATAAGATAGATGAAGCACTTCAGACACAATGTGCATTTCATAATTGTCTTATGAATACTGGTTCCTACAGATTTGGCTATATATTTTCCTGCTACATTCCACTGTTTTTTTTTTTTTCTTAAACCCAAAGTAAAAAATAACAGCCATGCCCAAGAACAAGCTCTGGCCTCTGAGATGCTCCACAAATCAGCCCCACAACATTATGAAGCTTTTTACAGCATCCAGTGGAACTTCAAGAACCTTCCTGGAGCATGTGGCTGCCACCAACTTGAGTTTTGGGGTAGCCCACCACTCTTTTTATCTTTGAACCAGTTCTCTTTTCTGTTTTTAAGTCCCCACAACTTAGCTTGTTTTCCAGATATTAGGTGTGCAAAGTTAGAGGTGCCACACTGAAGCATTTCCAAGAAAGAAATCAGGAAGCACAAAGCAAGATCAGGCAGGTAGTCCGTATATGAAAGTTACATGAAGATTAATTTCCAGCAGAGAAATGAACCTACGCAATGCTAACATTCTGTGAGAACCACTGAACTAATTGTTTGGTGTTTCTCCCATCTATGACATTAATTTTGAACAACTTAGGAAGCCAAAGCTGTAGTTGAAGAAACGAGAGCTCTGAGGACCCGGATTCATCTTGCCGAAGCTGCACAGAGGCAGGCGCATGGAATGGAAATGGACTACGAAGAAGTGATCCGTCTGTTAGAGGCCGAGATTGCAGAGCTGAAGGCGCAGCTTGCTGATTATTCTGACCAAAATAAAGTAAGCAAAACAGTCTTCTTCTCTTCCCGTTGCCATGGTTTCCTTGCCGTTGTCATGTATTCTGTTTTCATTTTCCTTTCATCTGCACTTCTAAACTAGGTCAGTGTTTGTCTTCTATTCACTGATAGGATGGTGTGTCCTGAGGAGGTAATGTGAAGGTTGTGAGCAGCCTGCCTTTATCCAGAGCGCTGTGGGAGCGAAAAGCGGCGTGCCCCAAATTTATTTGGGTCATTGGTCAACATGGTCCAGTTCAGACACTCAGTCCTATAACTGTTGAATTGATTCCATTGGTTTTTCTCCTTCATTTCTGAACTTGCTAACTGTTGGAAGAAGGGATGTGTTTTGTCCTTTGATTAGAGAACTTTAGGAAGAATTTTTGCCCAAGGCTCAAAATAATTAATGGGAAAAAACCAAGTTTGAACCTTTTCTTAGGATAGAGTGTACTAAATTAGGTTCTAGTAGAAGATTCTCAATTTCAATAGCAGAATTCTGAATGGTTCTCAGAAGGCAATGCAGTCTTTTCTTTATACAAATTATTTATATGATTTTTTTTACATTGTACATACTATATTCATTGAATAGCTTCCAAAACCTATATGCCTAATTCAACGAAGACAGGAAAATGAGTAAATTGAAATAGATGTTTACGTTCAACTATAAACATGAGTATCTCTAAACCAGTCAGCTTTCAAGAGAACATGAAATGAATATGAATGATTTATGAATATTTGATTAAGCATATGAAAGAATTAAATTCTGCAGATATGCCACTGAGGGTAAAACTCATTTTAGAATGGCAAAATTTGGGGGAAAATCTAAAACTTCTTTTATTTAGCTCTTAAGAGTCTCGAGCATACTTCTCCCATCTGTTTACTTAAAAAGATGGGAGAAGTATCCCATCTCCCGCCAGTTTCATAAGAAGGCGGAAGCTCCTGGCTCCTTCTCACAGTGCCCTGAGCACAGGGGAGGTCATGCTGAGACAGTACCAGGACTCAGGACTGTCGCATACATATGTCATTGTTTGATCCCAAATTCATGCTCCAAAAAATGAGATTTGACTGTTTTATGTAACTTTAGCCCAATTATAAAAATATTTTAGGAATTATCAAAATATTAAAAGTTCAGATTGTTTTAATGAGACTTTTATTATTCAGTGTAATTTTATCTATTTATTCATTTGAGGTTTTTTTTTAATTCATCTGTAACTTAAGAAATAAAACACTGCAAAAATACTTTTGAAAATCCACAATCTCCCTCTCCAGTTGCATTTCTTTCCTTGTCCCTGGATGTGACCACTTTTTTGGTTTTACTCTTTTCTGTTCTTTGATAATTTAAAAAAATTAAAAGTGTATGTATATATCCATGAGAAAAGTACAGTGTTTACTTTTATCTATTTGTCAAATTTATATAATTATGAATATACTATGTGTATCATTCTGCCTTTTTTCTTAATATTTAGTGTTTTTAAGTTCATCTATTTGAGGTTTGTAGCTACCTCATGTCTTTTAACTCCTCTGCATGCTATTGCATAGATATACTATATGTATTTATTCGTTCTGCATTCAGCGGACATTCTAGTAACTTCTGATTTCGGTACCTGTGTCCTGCTCTGCGTGGGTAATGGCCACCTGCCAGCAGAATTTCTAGGTTGGATAATTGTTCAACTTTACGAGGAAATGCCTACTTACGTTTGAAAGTGTTTAAGCCAGTGTCTGCTCCCATCAGTAGTGAATGAGAAGTGCCATTTGCCCTACACTCTACCAGCCCTTTGTTTTCTTTTACTTTTACTTATTATGAGAGTGATAGTGTAGGAAGTGTTACATCACTGTTCCTGGCTGCTGATGACTTTGAGACAGTGATGCAGCCCCACGTTCAGTGACATCCAGCTATTAATTTGAAGTCAACCTTGATTGAGTTATTTATATCACTGATGTTATAAGCTGGAGATTGCCCCCCATTCCTAATAATCAACTGAGCATATATGTATGTTTGTCGAGCATTTGGTTTCTGTGTGAGATGAGCTTTTGTGTCTTCTTTGGCCATTTTCCCATGGTTATTTTTTCTTTTATACAGGTGTGTCAGTGATCCTGGTTACTTACTAATCCCTTATACATCACAAAATTACTCTTGCAAATATGTGGCTTTCATTTTCATTCTGTGCTGAAATGGATAGGAGTTCTTCACTTTCATACGGCCAATATTTATTCTTTCCCTATGTGTCTTTTTAGAGTTCTTCTTATCTCCAGAGATATAGAGTATTTTATTTTTGCTTCCAAAAGTTTTAAAATTTCAATCATTTTGCAGTTGGTTTTGTGGCAATGAGTAAAGTGGGGATACTTTTTTTGATTATTTCTTCATGCCACATGAATAGCCACTATACCACCACTAACTGGAAAACCCCTTCTTCCCTAGTTGCTGACCAGACCAGCCTTACCCCATAGCAAGGTTTCGTCTGTCTGTGGATCTCTGGTCTTTCAAT